GGTATTATGGTTTCTCTGTCCCAAATACCCATTCACAGATTCTGCTAATGGATTTGTTAGCCTGCCTGTTCAGCTGTCATGTGACTGCATGTGAAGTCCCAGAGCAAGCTGTGCTACACCAAGATCCAAGATTAGACACGTCTCTACGTCACATACTATGTCATAATGCTTTTCCTCTGTCTGGATGTTCCCTTTCTATAGAACCGATTCCAATACCTTACCTCACAAATCTATTTTGCTCCTCTAGCAGACCTTTGCCTGCTTCTGACCAGTAGAGTTTCTTGTGTTTTTGTTGTTTGCGTTAGACTGAGTCCAGATTCCATACTGCAAAACCCCACTAATTTTGGAAAGCTTGGAAAAGTGTTTGAAAAGTTGGTGCCTGATGAACAGCAATCCTGAAGATTACTGAGTAGTGCTAGCTGAGTATGTGTGTCATGGCAGAAAGGGGAAACTGATCCTCTTAGCAGCCTGGAATTGGCCCACTCTCAGGAAAGTGTCACTTGAGTTGGTCAACCTGAGAGTGCCAGGCAAGATTGTCTAGCCGTGTATCTCCTTCCCATAGCAACCTCCTACCTACGCCAACTCGCAGTGGGAGTACTTCTGACCTGAAGACAATCAGCACTTGTGAGCACATGACTCTGATCTTTCCTTGAAAGTATGCCAAAGCATGCTGTACCTGGCCTCAAGGCACAAGTTCAATCCAAGGTGCCACACTGCCTGTTTGTACAATTAGTGAGCTTCTGCTGGGCAGGACCTCCTGCTGAGAGCTGCCAGGCATACCAAACTCTAGTCCAACAGAGCCCAACAAAAGACACAGACCTCACCGCAAACACATCATAACACATACGCGAACCCTAACTTCTTTGCGTCTCTTTGCTCCCACATGTAGTTTCCTTGATTTAAAAAATGTATAGCTTGTGATCTTTTTTTATTCTTTCTTCACCTTTTTAACTCCCCACATTCTTCTTCTCGTCTTTCTTTCTTGCCTCCAGATGTTTCTCTGCACATGTCACGCAGACAGTGACAGAGGGCCGTCAAGCCATGCTCATTCCATCAATTTATTGAAAACAGATACAAATATGAGTTCATTCCTGAAGTGCAGCCCCCATTGTAGCAATCAATAAAAGAAGGGCTGGTTTTGAAAGCATGCTTGGCATCTGACTGATATCAACAAAAAGCTGTACCATTGTCTCTAGGAAAGGCCTCCATTATGTTATAGAAGAAAAACCTGTGTCACAAATTTGCAAGTGAAATAACAAAAAAACATATTCTATTTTTGTATATTGTTTCAAAAGTCAGCACTATGCTTTCTAAGAATGTACATCCCTATGTCACTCTGGTTGCTACGTGGAAGAGTCATGTCTATGCAAGTGGGAAAAACTATCAGGAAACATTAAGAGAAATTCTAACTGATGTGACTACAGTAACATCAACTGCAGGCCTTTAAGTTTCTGGAAAACAATTCAACTGTCAGTCCTGACCTCAAAACAGCCAAATTAATAGGGCCCAAGGATGGTGGTTAACAAAGGCAGATGTCTGCCACCCAAGTTGGCATCCAACATATGGTTACATCCCTTCTTCTTTAATTTGCTGAAGTCAAAAGACAGCTAAAAGCATTAAACAGTAATGTTAAATGTCAGTTCTGATTATGATAGGGATAGCAGATTCCCAAGATCCACCAAGAAATCCCTACATTCTTCTAAGTTTACCAGATTTTACTACATGCTTTACAGTCTTGTCATTTGAGGCCCCAAACAGCCCAGAAGCAATTATCAGCCTGCAGAAAAGATCCCGGCTTCAATAGTCCATCTACGTGTTCCACCATGATGGACGAGGCCTGTCTTTGCTGTCAGCACCCGGGTTGAGTTAAAGAGCACCAAATGATTTTCTTCAACATGCTGTTGGCAGTACACATTATTTATGCCTTTTCTCTGTAAGCCACAGTCAACATAATTCAGACAAATTACATGTTAATCATCCTTCTGATGGGAAAGCATCCCAACACCTTAGAAAAATAGTTAACATTGAAAGTGGCTCAGCAGTGCAAATAAGTGGAACTACATAGCAAAAAAATCTTCAAATATTTGTGCTGCAGTTTGAGGATGCATTCTGTTGATAAGAAAGACCCTTATTTGGCTGCTTAAAGGAATGCCTGATTCTTTTTTTTCTCATTTCACTTCGCCCATTGGGATGCCATAGGAAGATACAATAAAACAAAAATATGTGAGGAAGTGTTGAACTAATTTTACTGTGATGAAGAGTCAAATTGGAACAGCAGAGTTCAGGTAAATTTAGGTTGTTTGTTCAGTCATCCTTTAAGAATGAGTTGCTCTTAAAAGACTATGGAGGGATAGATTTCTTTTTTCAAGAGAGGAACTTTTTATATTAATTGATATCTTGTTTTTATGATTTTAATTTTGGCCATCATTTCAGTAATGTAACAGACCCTCAGAAACTCGGTGCACTGTCTTTGCTGTTCCTAGGACTGCTTCTGGACAGAGACCTCTGGTGTTCTCTTGGGAATCTGCTGGAGTCGCTCTTCCAGTTAGTACGGTCACAGCTCCGAATGCTCCTGTTACCATTACGACCACTTTAGACTTCATATACACGTAGCCAATCACAAGGGGGGCTGAAACAGACTGAGTGCAGGGGCTCCACCAGTATCCCATTATTGCTGACAGCAAGGTGACCTAGTGTTTTTTGTGGGTCACATTTAAAGTCCAACAAAATCTATGCCAATCTCATTCTTTCCACTATTTCTTGATAAAAAAAAATAAAAAGAAAGAAAATAAGAAGAGATAAGAAAACAAGATCTCCTGTAAGCAAACTAGAGGCTAACTGCAGCACACTGTGATGGGCTTGAAAGTCAGTCAAGTAACATATCACTAAGTAACAGTGCTGTCAACGTGATCTATGAATAGAATGTAAAATGAGTGTTTTTATATAAAGTGATCCGCAGGTCATAATGTGGTCAGTGAGTGCAATGGCTGCTGATGGCATAGCTTGAATATGAAGACAGTACATGTTGACAGAAAGGAAATTCACTTCTTGAATCACTCTTGGGAGAAGGAAATAAATAAATCAGCGCAGAACCTTTGGGCTTCACAAAACCACAAATTATAAAGTACATTGTGCCAGTGTTACTGAGGACCATCAGTGACTTTGTGTTTCCAATTAATGATTTATGGCCTGAAATGTGCTGCATTGTGAAACTGTATCACAAAGGAATGTTGACTGGGACACTTTAAAGAAGAGATTAATAACCAGAGGATATCAGATTCCCCGAGGCAGAGGAAGACAGAGAGGGTGAAAGACAAAAGTGCAGATGCAAGACCAAGACAAGATTGTTGAGTGAGACAAATAGTATCTCTTATTGCAGTTTGCTGAGACTGCAACAGAGACGAGTTGAACATATGGTTTAGGAAATGAGATGTGCATGTTTTTGCTAGCAGTTATCTGATTTCATTTCATCATTTTATTATACCCAAACTGTCCCGAGGCAAATTACAACATACTCTGTTCTGACTCCTGAATCTTGAAATCAGGAGGATCCAGTGAATGTCTGTTTACCTTTGCCACATGCCATTGTATATGTTTTTCGTTTCGCAATATCTAATCAAGCAAATTGTCATAAAACTGGAGAACAGCATATCAAGTCTGTTTACATGTTTTATATGAGGGCTGGTTTAGCCAGCCAAACAATAACAACGCGTCACAATGAACCCGGTCACCCCTTACAGACACAAACCAGAAGTTTTCTGTATTCATACTAAGTGGACACAGTTTTCCAAAAGTGTCTTTCTGCTGAATTAGTCTAAACTGTACGTTTAGTTAAACCCAACCCTGGACAGATGGGCAGACAATAAACAAGCCACAGATCAGAATCTAAATATTTCAGATGCAAAAAAAGCTGAAAAATGCAAAAAGAGAAAAAAACATGTCAAGTAATGAGAAAACTAATCTCAGCTGGAGATGTTTTCTCGCTAATCTGGGAGTGTTTCCTTACCTAGTGCTTGTTTTTCATAATGGAGTCTCAACACCTTTTCTGCTTCTGTGGTGGAAATCACACAACGGACTATACTTATTACATTATTTTCTCAGCGTGTGCCCCCCTCTTGCGTTTGTTATTGCAGAACAGAAGGATATGCTGAACGTAGAGGGGGGCAGATGCTGAGCCTGCACAATCACAACATTTTCTTTTTAATAATTGGAAGTCCTGTGGGGTCAATGACAGGGTGGAGGCATCCAGGAGGAAAGGCACAAGGGGGTCTGGATACCGAGCGAAAAAGGGTCAGGTATGCAGTCTGGTCTGCACGTGCTTGGTAGCTGGCATGTGCATCCAATCTCTGCAGCTTTAGCAGACCAGAGCAGTTAAACAATACCTCTTTGGCTGCACCCACAGTCCAGCATGCGGTCACACTTATACAAACACTATATGCAAAGAAATTATTGTTATAGTATGAGGCCACCTATACACCTACCCAGAGGAATGTTTTATCAGTATTGCATGTGGGTGTGGTGGGGGAGCTTGGGGTAACACCAGTGGCACTCACTCACATAGGATTAATGCCAGCAGGAGATCGGACCAGTGGAGCAGAACCCTCAAATTCCCAAACCCGGAGTTTTGGGAGCAGTCACCACATGAGAACTGTCCTTGGTGCAGTTTGTCATCTTATCTGCAAAATGAAAATGAAAGTGATTTATACTAGTAAACAGTATATAAAAAAGCCAACAGCTTCAACCTGCTGACATAACTTGGCTTTTCCTTTTACAGGGGAACCAGATGGACGGAGCAGATTTGGAGCTGGAAGCGCACTAGATGAACAGAACTTAGTAAAATACGTTAAAGGATTCAAAGAGTTGAATGTTTTCAGCGGCTGCCCCCCACTCACCTCCACCCGAGACTGGATATAGCGGTCCCTCATATCGGGGCTCTCCATTTACATTATTCATACGGAGGAGGGTGTGACCTGTTGGCTGTTTTTTTCTGTCTGTATAAAAACGAGAACTTCGCGTAAAAGAAAATACAGATGGAGAAGGCTAGCCAGCTCGCTGTGTCACAGAGAGTCCCCTTAAGCCTACGTGACAACTCACATACTGTCCCTTTGTGACCAGCTTAATCGGTAGAATGCCCGATGTCTGTGTGCTTTGTCTGGTTGCCGCGCTGGCTGCATTCGCCCGGCTCGCCGGCACTGTGGGCCCCGTGGTTCGATGTGAGCCTTGCGACGCCGGCGCGCTCCTGCAGTGCAAGCCGCTGCCGAAAGACTGTGTGGAGCGGGTGAAGGAGCCCGGCTGCGGCTGCTGCATGACGTGCGCCCTCGGAGAGGGACAACCGTGTGGAGTATACACGGGGCGCTGCGGCTCCGGCTTGACCTGTCGGCACCAGCCCGGGGAGAGCAGACCCCTGCAGGCTCTCCTGGAGGGACGGGGAGTGTGTTCGAGTCCCAAAAAACTGAACAGCGTTCTCATGCCACCGCAAAAAGAAGGTGGGAAGTCTTTTCTTTTCTTTTTTTAATGATTCTCTGACACCTTGTTGCCCGTGTGTGCGTGTTTGTGTGGGTATGTTTGTGTGCGCCCCTGAATGTTATTATGCATTGACTTTGACAGGCGCCCTGCCCATTAGGGTGCTGTTCTTCGCTGACCAAGTGCAACAGTTCCCTCCTGGGTTAAATGTGAGGCATTTATAGTGGCTGGGCTAAAGATGCTGTGACAGAGTTGCTTGTGATTAAAAAGCACAAAGAAAGATGCAAAAACGTATTTTCCGGGCTTTTTGGCAAATCACAACAATACGTGTGTGTCTGTGTTTGGGGGTGGGGGGTTACATTGCACAATTGTGCGCTGGCCTGCGTTAAACAAATCCCACTAGACTCCTAAAAGTTTGACTTCATAACAGGAGTCGTGACTTTCTAAGTTGGAGGGTCCCACGTCAGCTAATACTGCTTTCCTACAAGTCCCTTTGGAACATCGTCCGTAAATACGAAACAGAACACGAGGAGTTTTATGATTGACATGTTACACTTGAAAATAGTTTTAAGAAGAGGACACTACTGCTCCTTCCCTTTCTTCATAATGCACACAGTAGCATATGCACACACAGAGTCCTCCAAACCAGAATTAACCATTTATATTCTGTAAGTTTATGGTTTATAGTATTTAGCTGAGGCCGAGTGCAGACCATGTCCCTATCTGCTGTGAAGCCCTTATGTTAAAGCTAATGGATTCTTGGACACAGCATGGATGTGCACAGTATGTGCTTCCCTGGTGCAGACAGCCTAGATCACAGCTGTCAATGTCATTTTATATCTAGGGCCAATACAGCCCACTTTGATCTTATGTGGGCTGGACCAGTGAAATTCCCCTCACTCATTTTTTCTACATGCCTCTGTAGTAAATGGAAAATATCTATCATAACTATGGGGTCAAACTGTAAGTAGTAAATGTGTAAAATACAGATATGTATAACTTAACTATTTTGATTTAGTATAACTGGATGTGACAAAGGTCTTCATAAATAGGAAAAGCTGTAAAACTTGTGAAAATACAGTTAAAAGTCCAAAATGTATGTCCTTCACATTCTCCAAAGGTATCCAAAGGGCCGAATTGGCCTCCGGGCCTTATGTTTGATACCTCTGTCTGACAAAACAGGGATGAAATTCCCAACGCAAGTATTCAAACACACAATCACAGCCAATTAGCATTGAATACCAATGCTAGATTTCTTAACTGTCACACTGAGAGCCATCCTATGCCTGGTCTTTTATTTAAATGTATGGCTGCTGCTCACACTAGTCAAATGGCACACATGTCACCTACATGTGAATACACATGGTTGTGCGTCTGGGCACACAACTGACGTCAGGCACCCAAGAGCCCATGTGTGTGTTTTCTTTCTCCTGGTTGTTTGGTTTGGCCACACTAATGCGTGGTGTACAAGCACTCAGCAGTCACAGTGTCATACAAACATAAACAAACACACACACACACACACACAC